GATAATATCCATTTGACAAGCATAGATTCTTCAGTGGTAGTGAGCTTTTGCTGTTTGGTGTTGCATCTACGCGTGCAGTACGCCCGCGTAGGCGGTGGTAGAGTGTTGGATGTGGCACATTATATGCCTGTGCAGCAGCCCGTATGCTTTTAAATTGACCATCATTGAAAGCTTTAATTGCAAGCAAGATACGGCCCTCTTGATGAACTGCTGAATCTGCTGTTTTGCGTGGCATTTTGGTGGTTGAAGTTGATGAGCGCGTCGCGTAGTTTGGTGGGGTGTTTCGCTCGGTGATCTGTTTCGCTCGGTGATTGATTACGTTACCATCTCACACTGAGCATAGAGTTTCTTACTCATATTCGAGACGTTATTCGATTGGATGGTGACGTCTGTGTCCGTTGATGACTGCCCCGGACTGCCGTAATTGGTCATGTTTTCCAGCTCGTATTCAGCTCTCTTACACTCGAACTCCATCCCTCTTCCGGCAGAGAAACCATGTCCTAAATCCTCGCCAAGGCAAAGAATTCAATATGGAATAGACCGCAATCGGTAATTTTACCAAGAGGGCAAAAAAGGAACAGATTGATATCATGTCCTATCCGATGCCGATGCGAGAAACAGACAAAACCCAAACCAGAAACCCATCCATCCAGAACAAACGACAGAAAGAACCAAGACACATCTGTCTTGGATTGCAGTACCGCGTCCAATGGATTTGATGGAATATGCTAAAGATAGAAAAACGCGTTTACTTGGTAGGCCTAATTGCTTTTTTTTCAGCTTCCACGCCCTTTCTCCCTCCCTGCCTCCCCGCATGACGTACTTACGTGGCTCTGATGGAGAAACAGGGATGTTCATCTTGGGGGTTTATTTCATAAGGCGACCAGTCATTTCTTGAGATCTTACTTTCCCCGCATTGATGCCCAGCCCTTGGGAATGCCTGACGCTTGCTGCTGGGTGCATGCGACGAGTCCGATCTCCGAGCATGCTAGGAAATTGCCTGCCCCGGATTTTGGGAGCCTCAGCAAGCTTCAAAGTATCTCTTCAAGTGATCTAAATCCTGGACCAGGCCCGGGTTTGTCAATCATATGACACTTCGCCACTGCACGTCTCACGTTGAACTTTCTCAATCGGGAAATACTACAGCTCACAGCCTCTCTCCAAGGGGCCAAGAAAGGTTGCTCAGCATAGTAAGCGACCAGATACATGAGCAATATATTATCTAACAGCAGGCAGGCCCGTGATCGAAGATTGGTCCGTTTTGGCATATCCCTTGGCTCTGGGAGGCCGAGTACAGCTGGAAGATGCACTCGACTTCTATTCCGGGCCCAGCATCCCTGAGATAGCCTATGGTCGTAGAGACAGCGACCTCAGAATGAGACATTATGCATGGGCAGCCATGGAAGGAAGAAAACTCTGCGCTCAGCTTGATCCAGCTCGACTGCCTGATGGCTATGTCGGAAATGGCGGCTGGTTTTCTAGTTGTGTCGAAGATATATAAAGGCTGTCAATGGAAGGCTTCTCTGCTTTGAATCTATAGCATATCAACATCCTCATCTATTACACAGACACCTACAAACAACCTCAGCTCTAGCAAGACATTCCTGACTTTTACGTCAACCAACAAACAAACCAACAAATCAGCCAACATGAAGACCTTCTTCCTGACCTCTTCTCTCCTTCTTATTGCCTCCCATCTGGTGGCATCTTCCCCCGTTGCTAACAGCAACCCCCCGCCGGCTCCCATCTGCGGCACCTGCAACCCTCTCTCGGGCCAGAACAGCTGCGACCCGACGACGTCGTGTATCAACACAGGCAAAAACTTCCACTGTGCCTGCCGCGCGGGCTACAAGGCCTCCGAGGACAACGACAACGTCAGCCAGCAGTTCCGTCTGCAGGTGCCCAACTACGAGTTCCTCGTCTTCACGCCTGAAAACACTGTCTGCGACACGCTCTGTGACCATCCGTACGATGGCACTGCTACGCTGTGCACCGAGGTCCCGATCTATTCCGATTGCGTGGCCTGATCGATTTGACTCATTTGATTGATCTGTGGCCTGGATTTCCACTATGTGGGATTGAAAAGCTCTGACGTTCTTGGGGTCGCATTTCTGTTCCAGAACATGACCAAGTTTTTCTATGGACAAAAAAAAATCTATTGTGTGGACCAGCCCATAGGAAGGTGTGGTGTGTTGTATTTATTTATTTATACATATAGCCATTCATTCATTCATTTCCACTAGCTAATTGATTTTTATTAAGTTAACCTCACAATGCAAATCCAAATCCAACCCAGACAACCTATAGCATAGATTAGTGAAATGAAAGGCGATATAACCTTGAATAAAGCTAAGTCTCCAACGTCCTTTCACAGCCGTTGATGAGTAGTAGTCGCAAGAAGCACCTCGAATACGCATGCAGCTCTCTAGCGCCAAATCATCAGGCTCAACTTCCTAATTAGGAAATCCCGATGGTAACCCTATCCTGTCCTATCCTTGAACAGGAACGAACGCATGCATGCATATGAAAAGAAAGCATGAAAGCTTTTTGTCCAACTAGTTAGTAAAAAAATTGCCATTTACTATACAAAACCGGTGGAGTGGTAAAAAATGAAATACAGACGGAACATTAGACAGCTGCCTGCAGCATAAAAGATGGGCTATTAATATTAATGGATGAAGTCACTGACTCGGTTCTCTATTAATAAATACTCCGTGTGATATCGTCCGGTTTAAGTACTAATAGCTGTTAACTATACCATTATAATAAGAGCCTCGGTCTTAGCTTATAATTTGGACGTAGGTACGGTGTACCTAAGTCATCTTGGGCCCTAGACTTAAGCATCCTAACTAGCTACCTAGCAGGATCTCTACTCTCTTCCTCACGTGGAGGAATAGGATAGATAGACTCTATCCAGTCTAGTTTATTTATTGGATTAATGTTCCTTGGGAATCTATCTGCAGGCGATAGAGGAGTTACGTCAGGACTTAACAGTAACGTAATCCACCACCGAGCTGCGCGGACCACCGAGCTGCGCGGTCCCCGAGAAAAAAATTCAACCACCAACACAACCGTAAATCTTGAAGCATTTTGCAACCAAATTTAATGAATTTGACTATATAAAGAAGGAGACTGTTTACTAGGGCATTTAAGCCGATTATGGCCTGTTTGATTGCAATTACTGCATCTTGGTGGCCTTCGAGTCCGTGGTCTAGATGATTCCTGTAGTTGCTCCTCATGCTCTTGAGCTTTTTGCTGTCCTTCAGCACCTGTCAAGCTACCACCAGTTGCTATAAAGTATCTTGATGCCTCTC